CTTATATTATGTATACATATAGTGTGTCAAGTGTATCCTGTCTCTATAGCTCTTCCTCGTTTTACCGTCTATTTTAAACAGATAGAACGTCTTCCAGTCACCAAAATTAATTGATTTTTTAGTCCTATTCAGATACAAGTTGTAGCAGACGTTCATGAACAACATACACAAGAGCAGTCACAAAAACATGCTACAATGCGAAAAGTATTAAGTAATGCTGAACTCCAAAAACGATTTCGTGCTAAAAAAGGAGCATTAAGTAATAGATCAACTCAAAGTAGCTTTCATCAACCACGAACTAGTGCTGAACGTCAAAGATTATACAAAGCAAATAATAAATTACGACTAAAAAATACAGAAACTCAAGAAGAAGACTTTACACAAACCCAAGAAGAGCAATATGTACAACATCTCGTTAAAGAATGTTAAATGTTGCAAATAAGAAAGATATTTTACATTCGAAAGGAAATTAAATGAAATTTTACCTAGTCCTGATCCATTTATAAATTATTAGACTAACAAGAATATTAAAATTATAAAATAAAATTATTATTGCCATCATGTTACGTTAAACAAGTTCAATATTTTATAGTTTCTATTAATTTATGAAGTTATCACTTCTGTCGAGCGTGCCGTGACGCACACCATTTTTTTTTATTTGAGCCGCTCTGACCGCGAAGTGGTCATAAGCTAGATTTAAACAAAAAAAATTCTGATTTACGTGAAAAATAATGTTCAAATAAAATTCAATGCATTACGCTGCAAAATTGCATATATCTGGCAAAACAATTATCCGGTAGATACGTGAATTACACACATAAAAGGGCTGACGTCGTCGGCGTCGGTGCATTGACGCGTAAGCGTCGCTGTTTCTGACGGCGCTTTTCTCTGGAGCGGACGTGCACGCGTCCAATAGCACGCACATACGTGATTGTGCCTTCAACCAGACCAATGTTTCACATAGAATAATTCGGAAATTTCGCTCGAAAAAGGCCCCCGGCCTGCGCTTTTAAAATGACGCAAATTGCATTCTGAGTAAATTGTCCGTAAAATTTCCATGACCGTAGAACACGTTTTCCACGTGCATCGCAAATACTGAGCTACTAGGCGTAGATACCGGAGGCGCAACTCAGTGTCGGTAGCCGTACCATATCATTACAAGTCGACGGTCTTCGGCTTCGAAGTGACCACGCATACGACGTGATGCCATTCCGGTATCTAATCACTGTGCATGGTGCTTTTAGTAATCGCTGGCTTATTTCGATGCGGTTGCTAACTTAAAATGTACCTAGTAACTTCCGAAACTACTCTCTAATTTGCGGGAACAACAACGCTAATTCCCGCTTCCTTCAAGTGAATCGCTATCTGCTCAGAAACAATTTGCTCTGTAAAGCCAAAGCCTCAGAAATGTATTCAAATCTCACTTCTTTGGCTTGTACTTACTTCTGCAATTTATTGGTAAATCTGGTCAATATCTACTGGGTTTCTGTGTCGATTGAAAAAAAAACGCAAAATGATTAATTGCATTACTTGAAATTTGATTAAGCTCTCGACGTTATTTATCTTCAACTTTTCTAAACCCTCTATTAAAATGTTTGAAAGGAACAATAAAATTACCCGGATCAGCTAAAATTGGCAAAACTATTCCATATATTATTACGCTAATTTTCGCTATATTTAATCCTACGTAACTGTTAAATCCTACTTCTGATTGACCCTCCAAACGTGAAAAAAACATCGCGTCACATTCACATTAAACAAAACAAGTTTGAATAAGAATAACTTGGCTTCTGCCAGTATTCTTACAGTACTCCTCTTTATGTACTCTTTATTTACATTCGATTTGCAATCAAACACTTTTAATGGAAAAATAAGTTTAATTCTCGAACAATATAATATATATATCTCTACATGTCTGTCTTAAATAGCACAACTTTATCATTTTGATGGGCAAATTGCAAAAATCTCTGATTCTCCAAAATTCCCTAACAACAAAATCACTTTCTACAGCAGCACCTGCTGCGAATTTCCTTATTTAATTAACAGAACGTTTTAAGCTCTACCTTATATTATGCAAGTGCTATTCCGTTCAGGATATTAATACGAATTTTCAATGGAATGTTCGGCTCAAGACAATGCAGCTGATCCCATTATAAAATTAAGTACATTTATGTAAGGCTGTGCCATAAATGTTTGGTGCATTAATGTAAATATTAAGTAAGCAAGTTCTCAGAAGGATTATAGTCCAGAAAAATTAAACACTCAGACATCAATATGCGTTGCATTCAAAGGGCCGCAAACTTGTACTTTATGTAAGAAGATATTATTTTGCGGTTGCCACTCTTTGAATACTTGTGTTTGGTGGTTATGTGATTGTCCTATTCAAATAATCCATTTCATAAAGGTATAATGAATAAAACTTGATAGGGGGCTACCGCCTAACACCATCCATATTTAAATATATTTTCCATAATTTGTTTGTGTTCTAAAACTGTATTACTCCTTAAAACTAGTTTTATCACAATAAATATGAGGAAATTGGAGAACAAGTTTTCGTTCCCTAAAATATTTAAGTTATAGAGCCGATGAAATCCCGACCGAAGTGCACCGTTTCACCCAATCTAACTAAAGTGTTTAAGTCAATATTGTAACCATAGAAGGGTATCGGGATTTAAAAATTGTGAGATTGTAGTGTAGAACCCGTAAGTACAAAAGTAAGAAAATTATCAAAATCACCCTGTACAAGGAAACTAAAGATAGCATTCGCTCAGAACATCCGAACTTGCCGCAGACACTCTCAAGCTATATTGTCATTTCTACTAATAGTATGCGAATTATTTTCCTTACTGCTACTATTCGAGCCTAATCCATTAGTGATTTCTACATCATTCTTCGACTTCACAAGCTCCTCCACCTCCTTCTTATCGACATCGTCAACCGACTCGTTCCATGGCTGAATCTGGAACAGGGAAAAACCCATTAGGTAAAAGAACCAGTGCGCGATAGAAAAAAACTTACATCTCCGGTTCCCCACATCTGATAAGACACATAAGTGACACAGGCTACAAGACAAGAAACGTAGAAAACCGTTCGCCAAGCGGACATTAGATGCTCCTGTTTGTCCAACATCTGAAAGTTGGCTAGCGGGCTCAGAAAGCTCGCAGTCATATGGATGGTTTGAGCAAATGCTAATACGGGGCCCGCAAAATTCGGCGCTATGTCCACTATGTTAGCCATAGCACCTGAAAAAAAAACAACAAATTTACTTGATAAAGTAGATGTTTTTGTCGGAAAATAGTTAACTTTGAAGCTAAAATTAAAGAAAAAACTTTTTATCCTCTGCAGGTGACAACTGATAACAATGAAGAATATGTAACCAACTACATACAAGTTTCAAACATATTTAAAAAGTTTTATATACATATTTAAAAGGTTTAACAGTTTACATAAACAACTTCAGATCGCTTTAAATGTGAAGTCGACGTGTTTGTCCATTTGTTTGTGCATTGAATAACACGTATGAGGGTATTTTTCCCTCAACCTCTAATAAAAGAGTGCCTTAGTGGCAACCACCCCTATACTTACTATATTGGAACGATTCTAGGCCTGTACACAAATAAGATGTGCGAACAGATAAAACTAGAGATTTTATTCAAATAAACTTATCTGTTTCAGAGAGTGTAATCAAAGTATTGAGTTTCACTGGTTTTTTTATCACAAAAAAGTATCAACTTGGTTTTTAAATTCTTTGTTTTTGTCACATCACAAGAAATTAGTGATATATTATGATAATATATATATTACAATTTAATTAAATTAGAATACTAATATAATTTCTTTACAATATTTTCTTTATTTTCCAGTAGAGCCTTTGGATCTTATCGATCCCGATTCCTGGATCTTCGATGTTTTCGTTCCATGATCAGCAACAAAACAATGTGGTATTGCAAGTCGCCCAGTATTCTTCTTCATTACAAATTGATTGTCAGAGATAGAAATCTAATATTCGCGAACAGCAGCGTTCAAAAATATGTTTTCCAACAGAAATATAAAGCCAAATCACCTTATTAGATTGATCAGAATCAAAGTTAGCGTTCTGTATGTTATGGTAATTTTTAATTTTTCACAAATATTTCCACAAAAATAAAAAAATAAGCCCGGTGATATAATAATAATGATTCTTCAATTATTCACCCTGTCTATAAAAAAATTATACCATTTAAACCAAATTTATAGAACGTGTTCTAGAGAATTGTATAAATGTAATTGTATATATTTCATTTGAATGTCTAATACATCGGTTACAAAATCAGTTAAAGGCGATTGGTGAATAAGTCTCTGTAGTGAATAAGTCCAAATAATTATCGAAAGCAGTGCCCTCTGTAATGAATAGGTCGAACTAAAATCGACAAAAGCGCCCTCTGCAGTGAATAAGTCGAACTAAAATCGACAAAAGCCCCCTCTGTAGTGAATAGGTCGTCCTAAAATCGACAAAAGCGTCCTCTGAAGTGAATAAGTTGAACTTCGACTTTTACTTCCACTTGAGGAACGCAAGTTCAAATAAAAGCTGCTTGGTAGCTATTAAAAAAAATGAAAGCTGACCACAACGCTTAAAAAAATGAAAACAACCGACCAATTTTGATGTATTTTAAAAACATATGGAATAATGGTTTGTGAGTTTATTAATACAGAAACTAAATATTTGACTTACCAGCATAAGAAGCTGTAATCATGGTGACGGCAATAAACCATACAACCAGAACCAGTTCAATGTCACACCCCAAATAGCTGACCAATGGGACCAAAGCGCCAGGAACTACTTGAGCTGGAAAAAAAATTTAACATAAAAAAACGTTGGCGAGTTAGATAATAATTAAGATGCTTACAGAGAGCGGTCATGAGTTTCCGAACGTTAGTTAGAGACATGTAGTTTCCAGTCACTAATTTATCGGCAATGTAGCAGAAAAACACTGATGCGATGTAACTGCAGATAAATGGCGCCCCCGATAGTAGACCGTTCTAAGAAACACATTAAAAATAGTTTTCGCTTGATAAAAATCAGGCAACAAAGCAAACCTTCTCTATGCTAAATCCCAAAATTCGCTTCATATAAGTTGGTCCTGAAATGATGAACGTATAATGGACCCAAATTCGTCCAAAGGTGGTGATTCCAATGGACCAAGCGGCTTTCGAAGTAAGTATGGACTTCCAGGGCACCTGCTGCTGCCTGCAAATCACATATTCAATCACCTCAAGTAACATACAGAAACTTCACATTCTCACCTGGAATTTTCATAGGTATTCACAGTATTTTCTCTAATGTATTTTTGTTCCCTTAAACTGATTCGTGGATGAGTTTCTGGACTATCGAAGGCGAGCAGGTACCAAATAAGGCACCATGCGACGCCAATGGAACCGGTAGTATAAAACACCGATCTCCAGCCGAGATGAGCGATCAGAAATCCGCATAGGGGATAAGTTACTCCTATTCCAATGCTAAAACCTGCAAAAGATTCAACTAGTTAGTTAATCAACTCTAGAAAAGTATGAAAAAAGGGTGAAGTGTGAAAAAAAGTGGTGAGTTTATCCGATGCTTATTAAACTGTCGAGGAAAATTATTGCTTTCTGACGTTTCACCAGCATGGGCGGCTTGCTTCTTCAGAGGTGATTTGTTCGTAGCAGCAACCTCAGACAGACATTCTTGTCCACGTTGGTCCAAAAGCATCGGAAAAACTCGCCAGTTACCAATTAAATGGTTGTGAAAACGTACCTTGAAAACTGGACATGAATCGACTTCTTTCTGGCACAGGGATCCAGTGCCCCACTAGCGCGTACATAGCAGGCCATGTCAGCCCCTAAAATAGGTTAAGTGATTACAGATATCGGGAACATCTGGATGAAGGTGACGGCCGGACCAGCTCGTTCTATTGCTGCCATTCTTCATCGCGCTAAACGACACATACTTTCAATTCAATAGTGGTATGGAATGATGATTTGCGCTAATATTCAAAAACGTTGTCCCTGGTCAGTGTCCGATCTCAAATAACTGAATATGTTAACTGAACTGCTAGCTTCGAGTGCTGACTTTCGGTACAAAATATTTGAACATACAAAAACAAAATGATTAGAGGAGGCACGTGAAGCCAGCTTACCGATGCGAATCCTTGGACGAATCGTAAAGCGATCACGAAGCCGAAATGGCTTTCCGCAGCAATTGGAATGCACAGACTGGATAAGGCGGTGGCAAGCTGAGAATAGCCAAACACGCGCTTGGTTCCCAGTTTTTGAGTGGCCAGTCCACCAACTATTTGGGACACTATGTACGCCCAGTAGAACGAAGCTAACACGTAGGATTGGACTGGGCCTGACCAATTCAAAGTACCGCCATAATCCTGAAAGATTCATAAAGAATTACGGCGTTTACCAACACACAGAAACAGTTTATTAAGGCCTTGATTTGCTTATTTTCCATAAAACCAAAACAATATCATTGAAACCAGGAGATTTATCTGGTAAGAACCACTTTTCATTAAAGGGGAATGTGACCCTGACTGTTTACAATCTCACATTTGCATACTCCATTTTTTGTCAAACAGGGTGAGCCATTTATATCACTTCTAACATTTCTACAAAAAGTCCATGTCATCCTCAATAACATTAAGATTAGATTATTTTTTGATGTAATCATTAAACTTCTAAACAATCAAAATATTTTACAAAAAATGTCTGTTTTGGGTGAACTTTGCAAATATTTCGCAGCACATGTTTTTCCAATTTGTAAACAGTTTCCGTCATGTTTATACAGAATACATTATTCGGTATATTACATTTTTCACGTCAACATGTAATTGATTGTAACCGCATAATTACACGGAAAATTGCATAGCTTGATAAAGCATAATTTTCCGTCATGCAATTTTAAATAGTGTTTGTTTGCACTTATCTATATCGAAATGAATACTGGGTGGTCAATTGATGCCGAACAATTGCATGAAACAATGATAACACAGGAGCGAATACACGAACAAATGTGTATTTATTAAACTGTAGATTTGGTCAAGTAAAAATACAGTAAAGTAAGCGTTTAATGACATTTCAAGAGAATCATGTAGGACTGTAGAGATGAAAACATGCGAACGAAAGCACACAAACATCCATTCAAACTCCCATAAACTAAACAAAAAACATTAAGGGCGAAAATAAAGTTTATATGTTTAAAATGTGAACATAAACGTTTAACTGGAACAGAGCAGGAAAAGTTTAAGAAAGCCAGAAACTGAAAGAAAATAAAATGACTGTTATTAACTATAAAACATAATTATCTACATCAGTATACCAGATTGGACAGCAAGGACAGAAAAAAAATAAAAATAAGGCAACACCGATGTTTTTGCTCGCAAGTTCAAGTCAACACAATTACATGTTTTATATCCAATTTTTCCTTACCAATGGAGCAGTGTTGTTGTTATCTTCGACCACAAAGCAATATTCTGCTGAGGAATTGGCCGTATGAGGTGGCTCAGCAACCATAGCCACAATAGCTAGATTGATGTCGTTTCTCATCATAAAAGAAACCAGAAAACCGGACCATGATAAGAGATAGAGTACTAGCCTGGCTGGTACTTGTCCTAGAAAAAACCGAAAATACTTTTCTTATTTTTAGTGGAAGCATGACAAATCAATTTTTCAAGTGCAAATCAGCTCCTATTTATCCTAATCTTGGTGGGTCTGAAATATTTCATCAGATTGTCTGGGTCCAAAATATTTATATTGAGTACTCTCTTGACATTCCAATAAAAATATTGATTCCATAATTACTTTGCATTTACTAAGTCAAAACGAATACTCCATCATTTTTTTATTAATTAATTGTTTTGCAATTGAAAGTGCATGAGGCTCGAAAAGCAGTTTAAACTTTAAAGCACCCCATTTCAATGTAGCTTTGAAAAAGGATTTATCGGTTGGAATTAATTAATTCAAAGCCCATTAAACTACAATGGCTGCCCATAATAAGCTAATATTAATAATACCCAATTATAAATACCGCACGCATATGTTTAGTCAGCAAAAAGCATCAAATCGTCTATCATGTGACCGTTTCAAATATACCGTGCGTTTACGATGAAAGGAACGAATTAATTTGAAATGTTCATGAGCGATTCGAAATGCACATAGTTTGCAAGTTGAAACAAAACGTTTTATGTTACATTATATTTTGACACAATTTACAAATTTGTTTGCAATATTTTGCACCATTTCATTGGCTTTTTTGTTGCTACATTTGAATACACGCCCAAGAAAAATTAAAGTTAAAATTATATCCAAATATGTAGCAAATGAAAAAAGGCTAAAAATAGTTCTAAAAATTATCTTTACAAGAGGCCCTGATTATAATTGAAATGTGCAAAAAATCCAGACATGGAAGGTTTTTAACATGACGCACGTCGATTAAGACATGTGGCTGATAATCTTTAATCGAATAACGCTTTATTACCCACGATCAAATACAACTCTAACTGCAAATCATCATTACAAATCCAAGTGAAGTACATGCTATTAATAAAGTGAGGCATATTGCATCACGTAAAATGGCACGTTGCAGATAAGGCTTTGAGTGGGCTGATGATGAGATTAAGAAGAATATGACCTGTACAGACTACAATCAGGCAAAGTGATATTGAAACTCCTAACCCAGTTTGTTTAATTTACATACACTTTAATGCGAGTTACTTACCAAAAATTCTGTATACCAAACACTTTTTTGCTTCTTTGGGATAAGTGAGGTCGTTGCTATAAACTCGCTCCTCCATTGTAAAGTGATCAATGTGTGTGTGTGTCTTCGAACTATTGTATATACAGCTGAAAACTCTTAACGAGAACTAATCACCGACATATTTGGCCACTGGTAGCGTCTAGATGAAGCGATGTTGGGCAGAGTCAAGTGCTTAACTGCAAACAATAATCCGAATTAAAACTTTTCTAAGCTTCCATACAAAACCAGTCGCTATGCTCAAGATCGTTTAACAACCTTCCAGCAAGACTTGATGCAAACTTGGCCAACGTATTTAATAGATCAGCATTAAACAATATTGGTACATTGTTTAATACTGCATTTAAAACATTTGGTCGTTGATAGCAACAATACTCTGGAAGGAGAAGCGTTTAGAGCGATAACTTTATTATTGAAGTTATGACTAACGTTTCGATACAACTCACACAGTTTAATTAATTAATAACAATGCTTATTCGTTACTGGCAAGTCCTCCTGGATATACCTAGTCAAATGCTTAAATTTTTTACAACTTTGAGCGCTAATTCAATAGCGTGATTCTGCACATACGTGCCCTGATAAATATTAACTGTCTAAACTTACTTGCCACTTAAAGAAGCAAACGGAACTAGTGACTACGGGAAAAAAAACTCCCTAATCACTGAAGTATCGCGAAAAACTAATCATCCAACATCTGCACAGTTCTAACTGAGCAGAGCTTTGCCCGATTTGATTGGACATAGATCAAAAGCATAACTGGTTTTAATTGATGTTCAGAGGATAAGCCATGTGCAAAACACAAGGTTGGAGCCGAAAAAGCAATACAAAGTAAACCAGAAAATTATTGAAAACAAAAGGCTCGAAACCAACGTCGGAAATTGGATTTGCAAAACAATAGCGTATTGAGTTGAATATTTATAAATCATTCAATGGTTGCGATCTATTCTAAACAGCTTGAGTCTAGATGTAGATTTTTTCATATTAATTAATTTTTTGGGCACCTGGTAGATTTCATGGTTTGGTGGACTTTGCTCACGACGGTACATGACTCATTGGCCTGGGAACCGAAAAACCTCTGCAGACTTTTTGTTACTAAATAATCAAGATCGCAGCACCTTGATGAACAAAAGGTTGCGACCTTTGGAAAAACCATGTCACGTAGAATAATGCATAGCTTGGATGATTAAGGGCAGCGAAACCTCTTGAAGGTTTTCACTTGCTGTTTTCACTTCCTGCTTTGTTGCTGCTCCTTCTTTTAACATGTGAAGATGTTGAATTTTTTCGGGACGAAACGTAAATTAGATTTTCTAAATCTTCGATATACTTCGATAGATTACATCGCTTGCTTATGCAATCGGAATTGCACAGAAATTAGCTCAGCTTTCAGATTAACAAACAAGCCAAGCACTAATCCACACAACAGTCAATTATTCTCGTATAATAAACTAAAAGTAAATAAACATAGTGCCAGTCTGCGCCCAAACGAGTTTATTGGCGAGTTCATTGGAGGTAGTTCTTCTGTGTATTGATGATTGCGATGATTGCATCATTCCGAAAAACATCGACTGGAAGAGTTAATTACCATAAAAAAGAATAAAACGTGTAATTCTTAACAAAAAGTTTAAGTTCTCAATTGAAATTTTGCAAAAGTTTTACATTTGTATTTGTATAGATTCTATTTAGTAAAGGCAAAAAACGTGTCTGCGCGATAATGAATTACCTGCAGACCAGCTTATTTTTACAGATATTTGCTAAATGTGCAATTAAAAATAGATTTAAACCAACTTTACTAATGGAAAGGCAATTATCGAGTGTGAAAAGTAGTTTTGAAAATGACTAATCTGGGCACTTAAAAATCGTGCGTTTCCAGAAAAGAAACCAATAATACGTACCCCGATTGGTTGGGTGGTTTAATGAGAAGACCGAATAGTGAGCGCGCTTATATGCAAAACTTAAAAAATTATAACTCGACGAGCTGGATGGAAATGTTTAAGTATAAAAGTAGGACATGTTTGCTAGCGGATGCAATAAATAGCTAGCATGGAATGTAACCCAGTTCGGGCTAAAAAATATATATCAGAAGTCGACGCTCAGAAAGACTAGACATCAAAGAAAAACAGAACAAATTTTAACAGGGTACCAAAATTTTGTAAAAGCAAATTAAATTGGGGCATTCCAAAAAAAATTAATTACTGGGCTTTAATAAAAAAAAATTAAGCTGAATGAAACATAAGAGAACTTACTTTTCTTTCCTAAATTCCCAATACTAACTATGAGAAACTAGTTTAAGCAAATCACTTGTTAGCTGTAAAATCAATCGGGAGAAATCAATCAATTTATTCAAAAGCATATTCTTATCACTGAAATGTCCTTCTTATCAGATAATGCCAGAAGAGTAGTGATATGCCATTCAAGGATATGATCCTTCGACACAATTATTTTTGGAACATCACAAAAAAAACTCTTGGCAGAAAAACAGTGTAACGAACAAACGCTAAAAATTTTGAACAAAGTCCGGTTATTATCATTTAAAAATTCGCTGCATTGTTATTGACAAGAATATTTTTTCAATCCATGCACATGCTGGCTGTAGACATACTAAACATGATAAACATTCCACCTAATTAATTGCAATCATGGGATTTGTGTACCAAGAATTTCCATACAGCTTCTGGGTTAACTAGTTTTCAATTGAGCAATTAACTTCGCCATGTGACTAAAGAAGCGATAACATTATTGCTCATTGTAGGAATTTCATACAAAAATCGTTTGGGGGAATGTTTAGGCAAATATAAACTGTAATAACTAGCATTCGTTTGAGTCAATATAAAATTTATATCTACTAAAGCTTAATAGTAATTAATCAAGGAAATGTCCCTGATGAGTGTGTGTAGGTTGGTTGAGATTCCTCGGATTACTCTTGGCCAAAAGACATTGCGAAATATTGCTTTGTCCTGGTTTCTGACCTTTTTTTGCCGACCCGGATAATGACGCAAGCACAAATCACTTGGAATTGGAATACATTTCAAATAAATACGCACTCCAAATTACAAAACATTCTGATTTATTTCTGCTAAGTTTTCAGTCGGTTACCGTAAAACATACGACGTTTATGTTCTTGTTGGTATTTATATTTATCTATTGTTTCTTTCGACTCACCCGAACATACATTACACAGAGTACTTCGCATATGCATCTCCCAGTTGGATAAAATTATACTGCAAATGCCGACCAAACAGATCAAATAGTGCAACTTGAATAATACACCGGCAAAAAAGCACAGTTCTTGGGAATTTCGACACACTCATTAATATGACAATAAAGTGCATATAATGCTCACAATACAATACACGTATGACACTTATTTTACGATTATGACTTCTATAAAATGTAATTTGGTGTATTAGATTAAAATGCTTATTTTCCCTAACAAGTACAGTTGATAACTGAGGCTAATGAGGCCGCAGATAAGTAAGTTGCTTATTAACTTTGCAGAGAGAGATGTATGCATGCTTATTGGGCGTTTTATGAAAAAAAATGTTGAAACATATTTTAGATAAAGTTTAGTTAAACATCAACTCGAGCTGATGGTTTTAACAGTAAATACCTACGAAACCCCAATGAAAACATAAAGGGGTCTCAATAATGTTAGAGAGTGAAGACTTATGAAAATTAGCTTAGTACAGTAGAGAAGCCTTAGGTGAAACTGAGGGGGTGAATTTACCTGATAAGGAACTATGGGCACTACACTTGAAACTTTGAGTAAACCGAAAAACCCTGCCATGGCCTTAGGACTGACTATTAACAGAAAATAGGAAATTACTGATTCAAAACCCCGGCTACAAACCCCTGTAACAATGAATGAATGAAAAACTATTGATTCTAGTTGTCATTGTGACAATCTATCAGCTTGGGTGGCTAAGGTTTCCTTGTGGGGTGGAACAGCTAGCTGTCAGTTCTCCAGAGATGTCGCACAAAGCATAGGGCATGCCAATACTAAAACATGCACTAAATACTTAAACTTTTTGATCATAAAAATTATTTTATAGTGTGAATTGATTTACTGAATATGTGTAAAGCGGCGGATAATCATTTAGGCATTTAACACAGTACAAGGTTTGTATACATCAATAGATGCCGCTGCTCTAAAAACCCATTATATTTTTTTACAAAAACATTGGAGATTTTGGATGAGTAAAATACAATATAAATAAATAAACGTATTAACAAAATAGTGGAAATGAATGAACTGACCTCTCAAAATATTCTATCACAATTAAGGTTGTCCCGCTTCGGGGACCTCGTACGTCCCATTGCTTTTACACTCTTCATCCCAATTTTCCGGAATCACATGCCTTGTCAGATCTACTAGTTGGTCCAATGGGCAGAAGCTATCACAACCCGGAATAGTCAATTTAAATGGGGGAACTGAAGTGGAATTCCGCAGAAATATCTAAAAAAGCATTGATCAAGCATGCATTCACAGTGAAACTGCCATAGAAATGCTCCCCTTCTCAAACAAATGCTTTAAAAACTGGTATTACTCGCAGTTGTTGACTGGCAGGATATTAAATTCTTAGATTTCGATTACCTCAACGCCATAAATTCCTGAGGAAGTCTTGGATAATTCGAGCAAAACAGTTATTCCATATTCGGGCATTTGCGAATCCCAAACTTTCAAAGTCCTCATCAAATTCACTATAGTGGAATCATGCCCTCCATACAAAAACGCCTTTCGAGCTGGAGGCGAAATCGTTCCTTTGGCTTTTGATTGCCAGTCGCCAATCATTTTTTTTAGAAGCAGTCCTATTACAAAAAAAATTGTCCCTTTCAAGCAAAAGTATACTGAAAACGTTCTCACCTCCTTTGAATCGGTTCATTTTATCGTTCCAAGCATTCAGCACAAAGCTGAAGATGGTCGGTTCGAGCATTTTATCTGGGTAGTACTCTTTGGTCCAATCAGGCAACGTTAAATTGAACCCATCCTGCAAAAAGCCACATTTATAGCAAGCACAGAACGAATTCAAAATTTTCACTTACTTCAGCCTTTAAGGTACTGTAAACATCCATAACATCATCAAAGTCTTCTACAGGTCGTCCAGTGTAGTTCGTCATAGCTTCAAACAGTCCCCGACTGGCATTCAGTTTGGCTTGGATTTCTTCCGACGCTACAACTAAATCGCGCTCGATATGGTATGCTGGGCAAGGTTTTCGTACCAGCAACAACTAGAAGAATGAAAATTTCATCAGTTTCAAATGCGAGAAGAAAACAGCGATATATGAAGGCTTTCACGGCCGGTTAAATCACATTTAGAAATGTTTTCCGGGCTTTGAAGCCGCTTTCCGACTAAGACTGGTCGGAAAGCACGGGAGATCACTTCGCCCACTGCCTCATCGCCTTTGATAATGTCCACCGCAGTTGTGGACGAAACGTCAGGAAGAAATTCCCATAGACCACGGCTTCAAAGCCAGGAAAACATTCCTAAATGTGAAAAACAGCGATGTTTTCAATTCTGAATTTTCAGACGCATTTTGCCTCTTACCATGTCTTGAGTTAGCGGCTCGGCGTAAACGGGAATAGCTTGCCATTTCAAAGGACCCCAAGTTTGCCTAGAATTAGGAGGCCATAAACCTGCATTGACAAGTTGCAGAGACGCTTTAGTTCTATCCACATCGGTACTCTGGCTGTAATATTCGTCTGGTAAGTAATGGTCGCTCAAAAATGCATCATAGCGCTTTCGCAAGAATTTGCCCCCCTCATAAACCTGCTCTTTACCGTCCTAGAATTTTTTTTAAATTAAATCGCAGTTTCAGTGAATCACTGGCTTGCCTACATTAGTAAGCTGTCCCCATCCTATAGGGTAGAGAGTGTCGTTTATGTGCGGATCAGTTGGGAATGTGTCTGCAGGAGTTCGCTTTCCATGCCTCATTATCTGGAATTATTCAATAGGTATCAAAAGTTTGGGACAAGTGCCTTTTTTTCGGGCTGTAGGTACTTACAATATGAATCATCTTGAGCTCTTTGTCGTTGTGGGTCAACGTCATCCCTAGAACCACCCCAATCACCAACAGGACGATCAGAATTCCTCCTAGCATGGCTAGTGTGGCAGTTTTATATCTTTTACGTTTCTGGAAGAGCGAAATTTTTGCTTAGCTCATTCGCTGGGATTTATTGAGCCAATTGATCAGTAGGTGCAATCAGCGATTGCAATATTTTTAAGCGCTGATTTTATAGCACATGTTGTGATATACATAGTCTTAAACAAACGTGACTTTTCGCGCCTTTGCAGTTCAAAAGTTAAACTATTGCATAATCTATATGCTAATTGCCTGGAAGTTAAGGTTTCTGGGAATGCGCTCTTGTTTATGATTTATTCTTTGCTTCTGTACTTTTTAAACCCTAGTATAATTGATATAAAAACCGACACCAACAAGTATTTTAGAACCTTTTGATAAACACTACTAAAAGACGAGTAAAGGAAACAAAACAATGATGTTAACTACCTACTTTCATGCGAATCCTTCTTGGATTTGTCGCTTAATGTGTTTTGTTTAAGGGTTTTGGGAAATTCAACAATATTGCTTACATATTAAACAGTTTTTTACCTCATATCGACGAGTGTCCATCCTCCTAAGCGTAACTTAAAAAACCGTCGGGAAATTGTTTTGCACTCTATTGTGTAACGAGTAACGAACGTGATTCAAAAGGATACACATGAAACAAAACCTTGAAGAACCTCATTGACCCTGACATTGATTCGCAATTAGTATATTCTCGGAATAACTTACATATTTATTAACGTATTAAGATAATACACTTTCGAGTTTAGAGCAAACGAGTCAACTAATACGGCCATATTGTAAATAATGCAGCGTTTACTAGGCATATTTCTGGCGATTAACGAACCACTTTCTATTTATTCTTCATAATTATTCAGGCGCTGAACAGCAATTTGCAAGTGGTTTTAAACATGAGAAATCAACATCCAAATTAAAAGCTTGCATTTTGTTCAAAAAACATCATTAACAAATTTGCAATTTGTAACTATAATTTGTTGTTATTATTATAACAATTTGTATAAGGATGCTTTCGGTTTCTTGTCAATTTTTTTAAACCACCCTGTATATTTTAATTGGACACCAAAACTTGCCGATGAAGAATCAAAAGTTGGTGGATGCGAGCGATTTTTGGAAAAATGTTTGCAGTATGTTTTACCGAATTTATTCCTTATCTAATCACACCCTTTATCCGCAATGTATACCAGTATATTTATAAGCGCTCTGTAACTTTGTATTTATTTATTTATATGTTCGTTACTTACATACCTTGCGCATTGCAGGCACTTTCCTATAATATTGCATAACACACACACGCTCGACTATTTTCGATCTTTTAGATACATGAAACAGGTGGCATCTATTCACTAATGCGATTTCAATTAAATCATCAATTTTGGACGGTTCTTATCAGGAAGATAAACCAATAAGCACTTACCATTGCGTATTGTCTTGCCTGTATTCCCAATCTAAAGTGCAGACTGCATATTGAACCACAATTGAAATTATTACGTCTTATTCCCACAAAATTACATTAGTTTAGTCTACCAAATGATAACAGAATCTCAGATCGTATAATAATAAGGTGGCATTAAGAAAGCTTGCTGTGATAATTATTTTATTGCTGAATTAATGCCGACAACCAATAAAAAGTCTGTTGTTAATTTCGATACATCATTGTTCCCACGCATCGAGCTACAATACTTTTGGTGCAACATTTTTGCTTCACTGAAACGTTGAGCGCCTGATTATTATTTTACTTTATTTTTGCCCAAATTTAACTCATATGAAACAATTATTGAAGTGAATTTGGATTTAACAATTAATTTGTTCAATGTTTAAGCTAATAATCAGCTTATAACTTTTTTTGTTTTAAATCGCGTTTCTTTTTTGCTCTAAAAATCATCAGAAGTTTTCAAAATAAAAACTTTTTTGAATTTAACCAACCCAGTGACGACCGATAAAAATTACAACTAAATATTCAATTGCGTTTTTTATTTTCTTTGCCACATGTTGTTTTACTCAAACTTTTGAAACACCACCAGTAGAGATTTCATTGTTATCCAGCAAAGTGGGCCGTTGTTTGACAGTTATCATTTGTGTGTAAACAAAACTAGTTTTGATTTGTATTATTTTTTCCTGGTTGAAAATCTTCTAAAATGAATAAAACTTCTGATAAAATGTTTCCTCGTAAAGGTGAGTAGAACACTTTTTATGCGCCAGCTAAATCTGTCCTTGAAACGTTACATTATTTGACTTAAACTTCAAAAGATCGTTTTTTCGAATACACATTTTTAAAGCTAACCGCGCAACTCACCATCAAACTCTTAGTTTCGAGCTGATCCAATGGACGTAGAGCGATTAATTTAGATGAAATTACTTACATGTACATGTACATTTATAGCAGATGATACAGGGCTTGCACAAGTCGCTCCGCGCTTGAAACTGCAAAGCACCTGACGAGTTTTAAAATAACCCAGAATTGAAAGGATCTTATATTGGAAAAATTAGGAAAAACTTGTTTAAGTAACACGTTAAAAACCAGTTACTAGGCTCATTTACCGACCAGTAGGTACTCAATGGCGGTCAACGCTTTCTCCGTAAACCATATTTTTGAGTTTTTGCACTTACAAGGCTGATATACCTAACCTGCTTTAGCCCACCGCATATGACAAAGATGCAAACCAGAATTTGGCATCTTTTGCGGTCAATAGCCGATGCATGCAAAAACTCCACGTAAAGGTTGCAAAACATTTTCGAACGCAGCTCTTGACATTTAAATATAAATTAGGCCTGCTACAATGGTGATTCAAAAGTAAACAATTTTTTTGAATACACTATGGACATACAAAGGGTGCTTGATAAGAGGATCCAAGTATTATAGTTAGGTATACAGTATACAGGGTGGTGCAACCAAGACAAGAAAGTTACGACTACATCCCGTGTCCCATGTATCCGTTTGTACGATGATACGGAAGTGTTTCCATTGGTTGGAGATCTGTCAATTCGTCCGTCGTCGTACGAACTGACAGATCTCCAACCAATAGAAACACTTTCATAGGATGCATGAGACACGGGCTTAAGTGGAGGGTAATTTTGAAACTATTTTTTATGTAATATTGGCAACAACAGCAGCCCCATTAAAAGTTTATAAATTATAGTGATCAGACTCGCAGCCCAGTAGTTGACGTCAATAATTTTCCTTAATTAATATTTTACTTTTTGCAGATAGCATAACCCGTATAAGTAAAAATGAACCTGGACGAAAGGAAGTGCCTCGTCCTAGAAGTAGAAGTGTATTTACCAATTCGCATGTCAGTGATGAAGCGCATGCTAGAGATGCCGTAAAGTTCGAGGGGGCACCGTCCTGGCCTCCCTACGTGCCTAAACCTATCACAGTGAAGAATTACTTAACAGAGGATTTCAATGTACTAATCAGCTCTTTTAACACTGATTTTGTCTAATGCGTTTTGCACCTTGTTGCAGGACTATTACGGTGATGATCAGTATCAGATGAGCGGGACTGTGATTTCCCCACATGGAGTGATCACTTTGCGACTAAACGAGCGCATCAGAGTGGACATTTCGCCTGATAAAGCCGTTCGAGTGGCAAATGCCAAGAATGGAATCGTTTTGGCTTTGAGTGCTAGCGGATCTTCATCCGGACTAATTCACCCCAATGGTCGCGTTTATCAGTACGGCTCTAGAGTGGAGATCATGGCGAACGATAGTCAAGGAAATGATAAGTGAGTCAATCGGTTACAGCCACAATTCTACTTTATATACACTTATTAAATTTATAGATTTGCAAAAATGTGGTACAAAGGAGTCAGCTTTAGCAGTATGCAGTGCGCTTTAGTATATTTGGTGGACTCGGCAGGAACAAGGACAACTACCGACTCATTCAACGACCTGTCTCAGCAGGATTTTACCCTGAATATTTTCTATGAGTGAGTATCTTTTTTTAATTACCTGGCAAAAGCAACGGCATGGTTTGAAGGGATTCTCCTTACTTGGATCAAACGCCATCGCCTACTACGACTACACAACTGGTCAACGAAGCAGTCAGTATTCTGCAGGCAACCAACTACTGGTATACAGAGGACGGCACTGAAAACTGGATCATCAACAACGTGAGAATTTCCCAAACTGCCGATGGACTAGTGCGGTAGATATTCATGCTCAACATACCATTCTCTACAAATCTACTAACTGTATCCATCTGTACGTAGTGTGGGTAGAAACAGCAACAAATTCTCTTTGCGCACGTCTCCAACCAATGGCTCCGCCTCAATCTCTTCGCCCTACATGCACTGCACCGGCTCTATGGGCCAGACACGTCACTTGTTTGTGCGAAGAGGCGAACGCCGCATGCACTATGATGGGTCCACATTTATTGTGCGCAATGCCGGCCATTCAGCTGGTTTTGATGAAAAACATCAACTAAAGGTATACTGATAACCACCAAGGTAATACCGAAACGTCGTTGTTAATTGTAACTGATCCGGGTAGGTGTTTTCATTCGTGTATTTCATGTGGGGTTTACATATCGTGTCGTGTTGCTTTCTTTGCCGATACTTTATGGGCAAAGAAGAGAATTGAATTAAATTGTTCGTTTCGATCACTTGCGGGTAGTTTTACTGATATGTAACTGTATCTTGTGTTAGAAATAAATGCATTGTACCAGTTGAAAATCTTCAACGAAAGCATTTCGATTTTTTTTCTTCGACTGAATACTAAATTGGGTTTATTCGAAATAAAAATCTGCCACTTACTACTCACGTGAAGTATAAACAGTCTCTCTAAGCACGCAACACATTTTACATTGTTGTGACCTAAACTAATTTACTCAGTATGTGCTGTTTTCTTTCTTCTGGGGTTAGTCGTTCGAACTCAATATGTAATACCTACAAAGCAAAAGTGAAGACATTTAAAACGCATCGAAACCAATCATTAACTTACAACAACCGGTGTATATCCAATTTTCTCTAGTTGCCTCAGCTTCATAATTGAGTAACCATATGGCGCATTTGAGTATTTAACCACATTATTCAAAGTAAACGGTAAAATAGCGTACCATTTCAAATTACTATCTTGAGTAGGCTTCATAATATCTCCCAAAGCATACTGCTTTAAACTGTCCGTGCTAGTATAAGCTCCGGTAGTTAAGTCTTTGCAAACTATTATATCTAAAAAAAGACTTTCAATGAAACGTTTTAAAGAGGTTTCACTTTGCTACCGGCAATGGGAAAATGGGGCATAACATGATTAACATGAACAAATTCCTCTTGACCCACAATGTCCTTAACTGTGTCCAGAATTTCCAAAAACAACCGTTGCTTGGCAGTTATTTTTTTAAATTGAGCATTCGATGGCGCCCATTCCGTCTGCCATTTCGCAGCTTTATATCTTGTACTAGCGGTTAATCTGTTTGCTTTGTAGTCTGGACACTCTATATCAATACAGCAATCCAATGAAAGTAAGGCGGGTGGTAACAATTTGGGAGTTTTACCTTAATCGGATTTCGGCATTATTAAAAGGAAAAAATTAATAAGACACACCTTTACCAAATGTGATACTAATAAACTCTGGATCCAATATTCTGTTCATTAACTCATAAGAGTAAATTCCTCTTAAACTGAAATAGTGCAAAGCCGATGGAAGACAGTTTGGATACATATTGATTTCACTAAGTCTTCTGTCTTTATGTATCTCTTCGAATAGCAAGTTGTAAATATCTGGCTTTGTAATAGGATCGAAATTAAACATGGTCAACACATTTAACATCCTTTCTATGTCCTTCAGTCGGATATTGGCAACATCTTCCACAATTTTTTGGGAACATTTCCTATAGAGTGAATCAGTAAAATACGGTTACCACCGTAAAATAACACTGCTAACCTTAGTATACCTTGATGGCAGGTTTGTACTCCTGTAGCTAATAAAGCCACATGTAAGCATGCCAGGGTTGAAAATCTATCCAGCTCTGGCAGTAAATTGTTGCACATCACATTGATTTGCGAACTTTGTTTGTGTGGATAAGAGAATCGTAATGCCTGCAAAAAATAACTGAGCATGCTGAAAGTATTCTTACTTTGAAGTGAATGAGTGCAATATTGAGAAATCTAGTATTTGCACTTATAACAGTAATAGAGTTATTGAATAAATTCAATGTACCTTCATAATACCACTCAACGTAATTTCATGGATTCCCATGGCTGAGCTTGTAACTTCTCTTATCACAGCTTCCAGAATGGGTTCAATTTTAATTCTAGTTTGCGTTTTAAAGTATCCCAACGCCACCACGGCCATTTCATCTACATTCATTTCGTGGACTTTATGTTGAAGAGCAAATTCGTACTCAAAGTCTATACTCCGTTTTCGGCAAACATTAAAATAGAAAAACATATGCACTAGTTGATCTTTGGTCAATCTGTCGGCTTTATATTGAAATTTATCTAAGACAGTAAAAATAAAGTCAGCAATTTTCGATAATCCCAATTTAAACCATAGATCTCCAAAGATAAATACGGTCTCAATGTCCCAGTCTTTCATTTTCCAGCAACAAATGTCGTCTAAGCAGCTCCAAACGTCGTGAAAATTGCCTATTGTAGGTGGCCGACACTTGGGGTACTCTAATAGCGTTTGCAAAAGTTGAAGAAGCTCACTGTCGGTGAGATTCTCACAATTATCCATAAGTCCGTCAACCAGACAATCAAATCTCGCATCGTTTACTGTGATGTTATGTGAATTGCAAAACGGTTTCACCGAGATAAAGGCTTTGGTAATTTCGGTGGCACTGGACTTTCGCCAATCCTTATTCAAAAATCCTGTGAAATCTGAGTCCGTATTAATTGACTGACCAGAGCTGAGGGTTGTTTGGCTACCAATTGCAGGGCTTTTTACAATCTGGAACGCGTAGTAGTTCTCGGTTTGATAGAATTTGGACTCTGTTCTAATCGAACTGTAGCATTGTACATTTATTTTTTGGACGTAACCGCCACAGCCAAAGCTGGGTTTGGGGAATACTTTGTGCGCGTTTAGCTGGGACTTGTAAATGCTCCAAGTTTTGCGAAATATTTGCTTGAAACACATATTTTTCTAATTTTCAATTTGTTAAAGTCCGGAGTGTCTGATCTAATACCTAACCTATAATAAATTGTAAACAAAACGACACAGATCATAAAGGTTACTCTGTGATCTGTGCAGAACCCGCTTGACAGCTCTAGCCCCGATGAAAGGCACGCAGTTTGAAAATTGAATTGAGAGTAAGCCAACCTAAGAGTAAATAGTATCTATAGATAGAAGCCAACCCTTGAGTAAAAAAACTCGAATAAATGGAGCTACGCCTATCGCTTTGCTTTACTCTCTTAGTATTTAGCATGCAATGTAATTTATTTAAATATGCTCCTTCAATTTCTTCTACAAAAATACTTCCCGAGAATAAATGTAAATTTTCAAACTGCGCGCTGTTCACCGGGATCCTCGCAAGCGAAAATATCTGGGCTACTGCTAGACGATAAATTAAACAAACTGCAAGCAGGCATGGAAATAGTCAAAGGGGAGCTCATTTAGCCAACACCTCACCAAAACGTGATTTCACGCCCTAATCTCCGCGTCGCCTGCGAAGATTTTTACTGCATTTAAATATTGTTTAATTTTCTGGAAATGCGGTTATTGACGACTTTCAAACCCAGAGAAATTCGTTGTAATGCATTCACAGGATAAAAAAAAAGCGCAGTGTTCTAATACATGAATGAATTTATGCGGAACATTAACAGTTGTGTAACTGGAATCTATATTTAACGCAAAAATACGTTTCAAGGGAGACCGTTTTTGTTGTTATGCAACAGTATAGTAGAAGCAAAGAGTACGTAATATATTACCTATTTTTTCGTAGAAGTTTGTAAGCGTTTGGTTAACTGGTCCCAACTATCTATATATATATATATATATGTTATAAAATATGTCTTTCATCAAATTGTTACAACTCGCGGAAGGATGTTATATAAATTATTGATTTGATTTATTGGCGAATATTGGCAGTTTTTGTGCTCACTGATTTGCGTTTTGTTTTTCTAATGCTTTCCTAAAGCGTTTTCTAAAGCGCATGGTGGAAAACAAAAGGACATTTTGTAAACAGAATTCCATATAGGAAGCAATAATTTGGCATTTCTTAAGAATCGTGGCAAAAGTCTACTTTTTGTAAAGAGACTTTCGAAGTTAACGATATGCTCATCTTATGGATAATCTCTTCAACTAACGATTAGTTTGGTTTTTGAGGAAATGCGGTTTTCGACTTCTTTCATTAAAATTATATAGTTTGTCATAACAAAGCATAAACATAAAAAAAATTAAAAATCTTGAAATTTGAGACACGAACGTCTTTTAGTTGGAAACATAAACAATTTTTGGTCGATTTAAAATCTGCAAAAAATAGAAAAAAGTGAAGACTTTTGAAGGCATGTTGAAAAAGCCAAAAATTTTTTTGGGAAATAACGAGGCTACAGTCGCTTTTTAGCGGAATTTTTCTTTAACACCAAATGTTCTCTGGTCCGGAACGTGCAGAATGTTTCTTCGATTTTAAATCTGACCAGAAAAAGGAAAGACTTTCTAGTTTCAGTTGCATTTTTAAAAACCCAGAAAATTTTCTTGATACAGGTACATTTTTGGGGAAAATCTTCGAATTTGGAACACCAAACGTTATCTAGTCCAGAGCGTGAACAATTTTTCATCAATTTTAAATCCCCAAATTAAAAAAAAAACCCTGAAATTCCCATTGCATTTACGCGAAAAATGTTGTAATTTTAAACACCAACCACAGTTCTTTGGTCCAAAACACGCACTATTTTTCATCGCTTTTAAATCGGCAAGAAATGGGAAATTAAGTCGAAGAAATTGAAAATTTCAAGATTTATTTGGCACCGTGAAACAAAGCCGTAAAATTAACAGTGAAAATAGATCCAGAAAACCTCGAGTTGCAAATATTTAAAACACTCCTTAGAAGAAAACGCGTTCAATTTCTGTGTGTCAACAAAGTGTTTAATTTAAATAACCTTTAACCTGCAGAAAGCGAAGATTTTCGGCTTTCAAATGCATTCATGCAAAATCCAGGAATTTTTCCACTTACTGAAAATACAGACGCATTTGTGCCGAAAACCTTTGAAATCATCCCCTGGGCAATTTTGCTGCTCAAAATTTGAAGACTTGGAAACCTCCTAGTGATTGATGGTGTGCATTAGTTGCAGCACTCATTACGGTTGCTAACAGAATATTAATTAAAGACCCTTCGGGTAATTTATCCAGTTTAAAGCACTGGACTTTAATGTGAAATTGAGTTGAAAATGCATCCGTACTGACAGAAACTCGGCTCCAAGTAGTGTTAGTGGTCAGTGTGTCCTCTTAAAACCTCCCACCTTACCAAGGGCGGATCGAGGGGGGGGTGATGGGAGTCATGGGGGGTCCATTCAATTCTCTATCCAACGATGCCAAAACGAATTCTCTGGCTCGAATGGTTCTTGAGAAACCATTCCAAAACCAGAAAAGCAGCGTCATGTTCAAGTGGATTTCATTCTTGAATTCAAACCTTTTTTGAGAAAACTGCCAACAATTCCCCATCCATGGTTCACTTTCTAAAAAGGCTATTTATTTCTTTCTAGAATGATGTACAAATGAGCGTTCATGCTCATTTTGCCTCCGAAAAATGTACAAAAACGGGACGGAAAACATTAAATTTTGGCATGATCTTGCACCTAAGTGTCTGATATTCAAATTTCGCTTTCTGTGTCAAAACTACTCAAATTTCCTCACTCATGTTGTTACGACTGAATCGACTTTT